GCCACAGTCCAGACCAATCTTGTCCTTCAATCAGTCTGGAGGCTTCAGGGATCAGATTCCTAGAACCGAGGCACGCTGGGAAGAGTCGCCTCTGAAGCAGTCTGTGTCCTGAAACGTATGGATTCAGAGACTACCTTCTCATCATGCCTTGTTTTTGAGACCTTCTCGTTGGTACTTCATTCAAGAAAAGGAGTCATAAATCAGAAGTGACTTGAAGACATACTCTGATTTCAAACCCCCACAGAGGCACCGCCATCATCCTCCATGCCATGAGGGAACAGGCCGGGTAGGTGGGACTCGTTCAGCCCTGGAAGGCAGCCCATCTAAGAGAAGGAAAACTCCGATTTCAAATCTCCACTGCCTTGTGGCTCTATCCACTCATGGAAAAGGCTTCAGGAGTTCACCTAGAGGCAAAATCTGGAGCTGGAGTCCCGAAGGCAGTTCGTGTCATTCTGTCAACTCCTGCGACGTTGCTGAGACCAGTTGTATTGGCTCTTGCCTTCTCATTGGACTATTTCAGGGACATGGAGAGGGGGGATTTGCTGGTTGGGTAACAGCCTATCCTCCATATTATTTTACCCAGGCTTCGGGCTCTGGAGAGGACACTCCAGCTTCACATACAACATCAAAACACCAGACGCTGTTCCAAGTCCTCCATACAGAGCACGCTAACATAGTCTCTCGAGACTGAAGGATGCCCATGATGGTAGTAGTAGCTTTCACAGTAGCCCTTGCTATTCGGGTGCCATCAATTTCTCTACTAGAGATATATCCAGCTACATTTTTAAATGCACACATTCCCCATCTTTCCATTCCTATGGCATGTGGCTCTTTAATTCACTCGACAATGGACTTCCAAGTTAATGCATAATATGGAAAGGGAAATGCCAATACAATGAATTTAAATTTTTTATTTGGCGATAGTCAGAAATGAATGAGAATACTTCTAGAGCCCCACATATTAAATGCAGAATTTGTGACGTCCATCACTTTTTTTATAGGTTCTTTCAAATGTGTGGCGCCAGTGGCGAGAAACGCCAGCGGTATTAAAGTTCTGTCAGGAAATGATGAAGCTGTTTGATTATTTTCATGTTTTGTGGCGTTAGAACATGCCGTGCTTGTTAAATCCTTCAAACGTGATAGGAAGACTGTTGCATTAGAAGCATAATCAAGTTGCTAAATAATTTTATATTGAATAAGTTGCAACCAATGGAAGGAACACTGGTTAACTAATTTCTGAAGGAACCCTCTATCTTTTAACTACTATTTTTTTTCCTGTTGGAAGAAAATATGTATAATTTGTTTAAGGGATTGGGACTTCAGATAGTACGCACTGATGCAATAGCAATGCCAGGAAAATTTTAAAAGCAAAGAAATGTTTTCATTTAAGAAAAAAAAAGCACTAATCCACCCATCACATATAAAAATAAAGAATGAGCAATAACCGGAAAAAGGACGTGTCAGTGGGCTTAATTAGCAAATCGTCTTTTAACCCTGTTGTTTGCTGCAGCCTATAAATAAAGCATAATTTTCTGATGTATGCTTATTTATTTAGCAGTAGATAGGAGCTATGGCGAAGTGGCATTTTCTCCATGCAGACTTGGAAATTGTTAGTTTTATCAGTGGTTCAATAAAAGGTATCACGCATCTTTACATTTGTGCAATCTTGTCCTTACCCTTGGCCTTCCTTGTTTATGTAAGTGGTAAAATCTATTTATCTTATACGAGTGTGTGTTTTAGCTTATGAAGTATATTCACCCCTTTTTGCCGTTCTTCCTAGTTGTTTTGGTGTATTTGCTTTTTCTGTGTGTTTTATTTTTTAAAAAAAACATCCTATCTCTTTATTGGTTGCCTATATATGTGTGTGTGCTTGTATTCAATTGTGCACTTGTCTAAATTCTACTGGTACACATTTATCTTACTCACAAAGCGTGCATATTATGATTATATTGAACATTTAATTTATATGACTCAGAACCACAAGCACTAATTTTAATTTTTATTCATATTATTTGGGCAGCACAGGATTACATTTAATTTCCAATCCATTATAATTCCTCATTGCTTCAGTTCATATATATATGAATATATATAACATTTACAGTTTCAGTTCAACAGTACTTTTATAGTAACATTATATCAGATCATTTCTCTAATTGAATCAGTCACGAGACATCTCAGTAGCTGTCAAAATGAATGAATGAATGAATGAATGAATGAATGAATGAATGAATGAATGAATGAATGAATGAATGAATGAATAAATAAATAAATAAATAAATAAATAAATAAATAAATAAATAAATAAATGCTCATGCTACTCCGAGGGCTAGATGGAAGCAGGGCGGCTTGCCTTCATCCCAGGAGGTGTGGCAGGGAGAGGAAACTTTTCCCCTCTGTCAGAAGGACTCTGTTTGAGACAGAAGATCAGAGCCATTCAGGAAGCAGAAGGACCATCTTGAAAAATGCAGCCTTTGAGACAGAAGGCAGATACTCCTGGTCTCTGTCACCCAAGAAGTCTTTTTTCTCTCCTACCACTCTGAGGTGGGAGAAGGTCCCAGGATTGCTCCGCAAGCAACAAAGAAGGGTAAATTTTGAGGGCATCGCAACATCAGCAGCTAGGGGTGGTATGTTTTGATTTCTTGGACCATGTAATCAATCATTCCCCATTCTGGGAGTTCTTGACTTACGTACATACCTTAGATATACCTAAATGTGGCTTACTTGGGAGAAAAGGCCTCAAATCCAAGGCTTTGTGGCCGAGCTACGCCTAGTTCCATCCAGAGTGCCCCCTGGAAGACTCTGGAAAGGGTCAGAATCAACTTGACGCCATGCAATTATTATTATTATTATTTGTGGAGTTCGGCTGGAAGAGAATTTTGCAAGATTGGGCTTACTTAATGAAAACAGCCTTGAGTCCACTAAAGCAGAGCAGTAGGGTAAGCAATTAAATAAAATGAAATTTTTCGTCTCCCAAGACTCATGAAAAGGAGAGGCGTATTGCCTTTGGCAATTTGCACACTTGCGAGCTTTTTCAGAAGAAGGTATTCACCAAACAAACTACACAAGATCATGGATGGTTAGAAAAGGGTACAATTCAGAACATTCACGGGGATATGTGTTGTCCAGGAGGACATGTGTACATCTGGGAAAATGCATCAATAAATGTGTGGATCAAGAAGAAAAGGCATACAAATTCCAGTGCAAGGATTACAAACACAGGGTTAAAGTCTAGTACAAAACAAGGATGGGTGGAAATCAAGTGGAATTTGTAGAAATGTAAAAATCAAGTTTCAGAGAATCCCATGTCTGTTTTCAAGAAGGAATTGCAAGCACATGGGGGCAACACCAGAGAAAGAGCAGAGTCTTATATGCATCTGTGCAAAAATTGTAATTTTTAAACTGCCCATCTAACCGATTGTCTTATATGCATCTGTGGATGAGAATTCTTATTTGAGAGCAGCAATGTTCTCAACTTATGTATCTTTTGGGGGTGGGGTAGTTGCTGGGAATTCATCTCCCTTTCCTTATGCAAACTTCTTCTAAGTTCTCTCTCTGCTTTGGTTACCATGAAAATCAAATTGATTTATTGGTTTGATTTGATTTTAATTTTTAAACTGCCCATCTAACCGATTGTCACTCTGGGCAGTTTACAGACAATAACGACAAGAAAAACAAATGTGGCATAATCAAGTGCATTAAATTAAACTAACAAATTAAACTTAATAATAAACATTTAAAACAGAACTAAAAACAAGCGGCAATTTGGGTAAAAGGCTGAGACGCTTAGGGATCTTAGGTTGGCAGATTCTGAAAAGCCTGACTGAATGTTTTTAGAAGCTTCTTAAAGGACATCAGGGAGGGGACCAGGTGAATTTCGGATGGTAATTCGGATGGTAATTCAAATTTGTGTGCCTGCCATGTCTGTGAAAGAAATTTAGCATGACACTAAACACTGCAGGGCAGATAGTTTATTACAGCTAATTCGAAAGAAAAGGCATGTCTGAGGTAAATGGCCAATTAGCTCTCTCCAGAAAAAGTGAATAGGTAATAAAATGTTTTTAAAGTGGTAGCACAGAAAAGAATATTTGAAGGCTAGTTCGCCTGCACACCACTCCCTCCTCCTCCTGAGTCACTGGGTTACCTAATTGTCCCCGTCCTATAGAGAGTAAATGAATTCTGTGATTTCCAGTAACTGTGAGTGTACATGTATATAAATACCTCAGCATTTGCCGTTGCTTGACATGCAGGAAGATTTTTCTTATAGGAGACCAATCTTTCTTCAGTACAAAATAAAGAGAAATCATTTGTGAATGAAGGAGGGATGGAGATGATCAGATGATAATGCCGAGAGAAACAGATATCTCCAAAATTTGAAAATTGGGATTTTTTTTTCACTTGTCCATGCCTAATGAGAGAAGAAGCAGTTAGCATGAAATAACCTTACCTAGATATCAACCTCATTTTTATAGAGTTCAGTTTTCCCTCCGCTACAATTGGGTGGTTTCTCCTGTTTTAATTTAGCACAAAAATTTTTATTGATATTTCTTTTGCAATATTATTGTTCCTTTCACAGGAGTTTTCCTAAGTAGGGTTTCCCGTTGATGCCATCAAGTGGTATCTGAGCTGTAACATGCTTCTCGGCCTGTGATGGATTTGCCTTTATTCCAATCAGAAAGAGAGAGAGAGAGAGAGATGACACAGAGAAAACAGAACCTATGACAAATGGCATAAGTCACTTCATTTGTTTTATCTTGCTTGAGCTCTCTGAAGTTTGCATATAGATTCAAGTCCGGCGGATATTTTCAGCTTTGCTTGCATGCTTTACGTGAGCTCCTAAGTGACAATTACATTTCAGTGACAGATTGTTTGGAACATTCTCGCAGACAAATGCTGCAATCCTGTTAGGCGCCGATGCTCTCGTCTTCTGCCGTTTCTGAAAATAATAACCCGGCCTCTCTCGTTTGTTCGGTTTCTCCCACTTTTCTCTCTGAGTTTAGAAATGCCGGGAAGTCCACGGAACCAGTTTACCTTCAGACCCCTGCCGCCACCGCCGCCGCCGCCCCACGCCTGCACCTGCACCAGGAAGCCGCTCTCCACAACCGACTCTCTCCAAGGAAGGTCCATGACATCCCGCAGCCAGCCGAGCCCAGGGGCTCCACTCCCACCCACCAGCACCCAGGATTCAGTGCATCTCCATAACAGTTGGGTCTTGAACAGTAATATACCGCTGGAGACCAGGTAGACTGAAACCTGTGTTTGAACATGCTTATTAACAAAAAAAAGAGGAAAGTCTGTCAACCAAAAAAAAGGGGAGGATAGGAGAGTGCCTTATTTTCTGGTTATCTGGGCTCCTCAATCATCTGACAGGCATAGTCTGAAAGCAGGAAAGCCCGGTTGAGATGGAACAATCAGAAAGTTGGCATCTGTTTAGTTCAGAAGAAATGAAGCAAGCTAAAGGTATCAGGTGGGAATGAGGTGTGTTTATTTGTTTATTTAAAATATCGTTATCCCGTCTTTATCTTTAAAAAGAACCCAAGATGGCTTACACCATTAAAAAGACCAAGTTCCAAGTTGTTTGTATTAGCTAAAAGCCGTCACAATTGTTTAAAATGCAAATCTGGTCAAATAAAGTCATGATAAAATCACAGACATATAAAATAATAAGAGACCCTTCATATCTGGGAGTCTCCCGCACAATTGATTGCGATGGCTTTCAGGAATTTAGCACAAATATTTCTGGCTGCTTTTGCAAACAGCGCTGTTCTGTATGTAACATAAGGGTCACAGTCCATTAAAAAGACAATATTCAAACACTAAGGATGGTAAGTATACAATTTAAAATATATATTAAACAAGTATTATATTAAAAACTGTAAATAAAATGAAATAGTAAAGCACATTTAAAAGAACAGAGCATAACAATCCATTTAAAAATGAGCCTTAGACTGTCAAGCACTAAGGAAAAGCCTGCCTGAAGAGAAAGTCTTGGCCTGCTCGCGGAAGGAGAGCAAAGAGGGGGCCAACCCGGCCTCCAGTGGGAGGGAGTTCCACAGTCTGGGAGCAGCCACAGAGAAAGGCTCTCCTGTGTCCCCACCAAGTGTGCCCGTGAGGGTGGTGGGACTGAGAGAAAGGCCTCCCCTGATGATCTTAATGTCCTAGCAGGCTCATAGAGGGAGATATGGTGTAGTGGGTACAGTGACACAGTAGGGCTCAGGAGATCTCAGTTCAAAATCCTGCTGAGCTATGGAAGAGTGTGTGTGCGCGCGTGCGTGTGCGTGCGTGCGTGCATGCTTGCGTGCATCTCTCTCTCTCTCTCTCTCTCTCTCTTTCTCTCTGTGTGTGTGTGTCTCTCTGTGTGTGAATGGTAGACTACACCTTGAACATCTCACATACTCAGAAAAGTTTCCTAGGGTCACCATAAGTTGGAAATGCCTTGACAGTCCATAACAACAAGGACATTAAGAGTGACAGCTTCACCCATGGTAGCTAAAGTTTGGTTCACAAAAGGTATGCAACTCTTCCATCTCCTTAAATCCTTCCATGTCCCTGATATCTGACCACTCGTGTTCCCAGAATCTTCTGAAAGGTAATTTCGGGTCATTTTTAATGGGACAAGACCTAATTTTAGGTCTTAGGAGACCTTTTCTCCAAAATAAGGCAAGGTGTAACCCATTGATGTCTCAGTGGATTGCATTGGAAAGTCTGGAGGGCAGGAGACCCCTGCACATGGACTAACTCTAAGCTAAGTACTGTAAAGGTAGGAACTGAAACAGGACCATGGATAGTTCCAAAGCTTTGCCAGGCAGAGCTCTTTCCTACCAGAACAGCAGGAGAATATTAGCTACCTGCTAAAGCCAACAGAAGCTTTAGATAGGCAGATGTGTTCTCTAAAAAGCATAGCTTCCCCACACCTGGATTTCCTATGTGGATGGTGAAGTGTTTCGGAGTCTCTGTCTTTAGCAACGTCGGGCAGAAGAAGGCCCTGCCAAAGGATGAGAGCAAGTCCATAGCCAAGGGTGGGTTCAGATGTATCACTGACCATCTTACCCCCAAATCTCCGGCTCAGCAGAGTCTTCTGCTGCACTGCAAAACTTACGACAGTTGAGAGCTTTTTTGGATAGAAGTCTGCCAAATGAAAGTTCCAAACATAGAAGAAAGGCTAACTAAATAAGAATAGCTTAACTAGCAAAGGTTTGGCGACGTTAGATTGGCTTTTCTGAGATTTCTTTGCAAACCTGGGCGTCCCTTCCTCAATCAGTTTCATAAGGTGTTGGGAAACCATGGAAAATGTGCTTGGCTCCAGTTTGTATCTCGTGCTTCCTCTTTTTCCTTTGATTCATGTAGCCCAGGAGACTGAGAGCTTTCAATTGTGGCTTTTAAGCAAGCCAGTTTCCTACTGTGTCCCAACTTCAAGAGGCATGTTTATATCACAAGAGAGGATTGTGTGTAGGATATGTGCAAGTTTTGAGCATGCTCCAAGGAGTTTAAAAGCAGTGTGTGTTACTCTTTCAGTCACCTCCCTCCTTTTTTAAAAAAAAATCTTCATATCAACCCAGTGACACATCTTAGACTCCTAGTAAGAGCCACACTAAACTTTGTTTCTGAGTAGAGATTGAAATGTAGGTCTCCTTAATCTTAGTGCAACACTCAGGAAGAAAAAAGTAATTGATGAAGATGGGTTATTTCAAAGTACTTAAAATCTTAGATAGCCTGTCTTCTCATGTCAGAGAAGCTATCTAGATTTAACTGAAGCAGGGCCCTTGTTTAGGGCTAAATCATTTAAATGTGGAGGGTACACATAGCATCAGCCCTGGCTTCATAACCAGTGGGTGGTGGGTGACAGGGGCGGCAGCTGAAAAATAACAGGAAAGGTACACATTACATAGGGGTCACAAAGAGTTGGACACAACTTAACAACTAAACAACAAGAACTAACACATTTCCTAGAACTACAATGGGGGGGAATGCTCTTCCTATGTTTATTTGCAAGAAATGTTTGAATGATAGCAAGAAAAGCACTTGATCAAGCACGAGCCGATCTTTACCTTTCAGAGCTACGTGAAAAGAAAGCAGAGTGCCCTTACACAACCGGGCATATTTGGTGGCAGCTGTATTCCTGCGCCAAATCTCCCTTGTATAATAGTCCTGAAATCCACCTAATAGACCTAAGCTGGTTTTTATTTATTTTTTATTTGGAACATTTGTAATCTCCAAGCAGATTTAGAGGCATTAATTTATGTCCCACTATAATAACTAGGGATAATTCAGAATGCACATGTTGAGGGCTTTCATCCAATAAAATCTCATTCTAATTCTTAAACGGCACCGGGGTAACAACTAGCTTTATGGGGAGAGGAGAGATCAGAAGAGAAGAATTCTTCCTTAAACTGTTTGTGTCTGTAATGTAGACAGAAGGACATACAGATGGAGTCTGTCATTTAAATATACTTCCTGTAATGGGGACATGGAAGGAATCTCTACTTGTGATATTAACAGATTTCCTGCACTTAATGTATTTCTACTTTCACTTTCAGAACTTCGAAAAGTTCTATTATGTGCAGGAAATCTGTTTCCAGGCACATAAAGCCACGTACCTTGTTATTCAATTTACCAATCTATCATCACCATCTCTGTGGTTGGGGAGACAAGTTGGTGGGTCTCAATATCTGGGAGCTCTCGGGTCATCTCCTCCTTCCAAATTTAAAAAAAAATCCATTTAAAAAAAATTAAATCATGATTTAAATCAAATCCACCCTGTGATCCTGAATGTTCCTGGAACACGCAGTCTGCCTCACGTAAGTCCTAATCCAACTTCCTAAACCAACCCCGTAGGTTTTTGGCATGGAAGGGAGAGAACAGCATAACGTCAGTCCCTAGTCAAGACTGCAAGTTCACGTGGCCCTACAGATAAAGCTGGATTCAAACTCCCATGCTCCCCAGCCAGAATGGGCAATGCCTGGGAATGATGGCCTTTGTTGTTCAGCACCATCTGGAAAGCTACAGATCCGCTGCTCCTGTTTTGTGAAGACTGAGAAGGCCTATGAAAAATGCCCAGGCAGGGAGATTAGAAAAATTTGACATAACCAGGAGATTGGAAGGCACTTATTAAAGAAATATGATACTTGATAATGAATTAGTTCTTCAGAGTTTTTTTTTTAAATCTTCTTTATTATTCTGAAACAAACAAAAATAGGAACACCACTTCATTTTCCAGTCCTTTGGGCTTGGTATCTGTTATTCTGACATGTCTCTTGTACAAGTCATTTTCTGTCTTATTAAACTATAACTAACCTCACTTGGGGTGCATCACATTTTTAAAAGGCAAGCTGAGGCTTAGGATTCTATTTGACAGCCCTGCTTTTGATTTTTTTTTTTCCCACGGAAAAAGTGACAATATCTCACATCTCTTCGCTGTGCGAGAAAATGAAGCAAAAGCAGTGAATGCGGCTCTTCGTTCGAAGTAATAGATATGACTCCCATTTTATAAATAGCCAAATTAGTCAGCCATCGGAGTGAAGCAAAGTTTTAATGAATATAACCAATTCTTCATGGGAGCCTGCTGTCCTTTGTTTGAATGGCTCACGGTTCTTCTGGTATGGATTGGGAACATTTCGTTTGGAGGGAAGTTTTAAAAAGATTATTTTAGAAAACCACCAACTATATTTTTGATAGGTCGGTGCTTTCCTGCTTTATCCCTTTTGTAACTTGAAAAACGTTGCTGTTCTTATGTGCCATCAAGGTTGCCTCAGACTTTTGTTGACCCCATAAATGAGGGACATCCAAAATGCCCTGTCCTCAACAGCCCCTGCACAGGGCTGTGGCTTCGTTCAAGGAGTCAATCTGTCTCATATTTAGTCTTCCTCTTTTCCTGTTGCTTTCTCCTTTTCCCAGCATTATTGGGGGTTTTTTTCAGTGAATCTTTTCCATGCGTTATAAAAATGATCAAGGATTACCACTACCTTCCGTAATTGCTATAGTTGTATTATTCAGGAAAATTTGTTCTTGGGAACAAAAGGACCTGCTTCCAAGTAAATATGACTTTAGTCAAGCAAGGAAACAAAAGGTGGAGGAGCCTCTTGCAGCATAAGGAGTGAAATCGAATTTAGAGATGTTGCTGGAGTCTTTGTTGCAGTGATCAAAGACAGAAGTGTGAGCCACAAATGCCAGGGCTTTTTAGCTAAACGCTCTTCCGGCTTGCAAGTAAACCTTAGAACAGGGAGTTCGACTGTTTACTCTGGAGAGGAACATAGGAAAGCTGGAAAACCAGCAAATAAGGAGGCTGTGGGTAATGGAATGTGTCTACACTGGGACCCCAGGAGGACTAAATCTGACCTCAGGGCTAGAGGTACCCATCTCCTTGAAAAAAGAGCAGCCACGGAAGCAAAAACAGTAAATAATATTTAATTGCAAGCATTTTTGTAGAAGTATGTTTTTATATATATTTCTGGGTATCATAGTCACATCTACCAGAGCGTATATGGTGTGATCCTTCCCTATAGTGAAGGCCAGTATCTTGTTCATGCTGGCATAATGTAAAGATGTTTTTATATATATTTCTGGGTGTCATAGTCACATCTACCAGAGTGTATATGGTGTGATCCTTCTCTATAGTGAAGGCCAGTGTCTTGTTCATGCTGGCATAATGTAAAGTGACACTGGTGTAAATGTAATAAGGAACCGTGCTATGGAATTGCACCATCGGTTATGTGTCCCGGCTTTAATGATGGGGCAATGTGCTGGCAGAAGTGCTTTGAGGATAGCACTTCCACCTCGATGTTAGCATAGCTACTGTCTGTGCACCCATAGTTGCGCAATAGGATTTGGACCAATATCTGGAGGCAGGTAGAGGGTGGGGACCCCTCAGGATAGGGTTGCACTGCAGCTTCTTCAGACACAACCAGCTTAGCTAATAACGAGGGATGAGTGGCGTTGTAGTTCGGCAGCCTCTGGGGGGGGCACATGTCCCTCATTCCTGCCGTAGACACTCCCATTGGTTGGCAGTGGCCATGCTTGCACATCAGGGGTGGAAGGGGAGATATTTACGCTCTTGAGTTCCATAGGGATCACTACAAGTACAGCTAGGGAAGAAGGACAATACCCTTAAGAGTTCTCTGTTTCCTGTTTTCCGATACCTGTCAGTCACATTTACAATTTTATCAACTTCTATGGCATCTTCAACTTTCCGAAAAAATATGGGGCTAATAAGATTTAAACACATTGTGCTTGCATATGAAACCCTAAACTGTAATTTTCCATTTTCCAGTATCCCGTTTTATGAAACTGATAGCACATTTCAGTATGTTGTTTAATGCCTTTAATAACAATGCTATACTTAGACATCCATGTGAGGGCACTACTGAGTTCACCAATATGTTGACAATAAGCTGCATTTTCCATACAATAGAATACTTAAAATACATCAAACCAGTATTGATACTTACTTAGGTTGCCTGTATTCATTCCATACACCACGCTAAGCCATAGTTTATGCTAGCCACATTTAACCACGGCATATTGCACAGACAAACAAACAAACCACAGTTTGTTTTCTCCATTTCTGGTTTGTTTCTATCGCTCCTCATTTGCCAGCTTGGGTTTCAGGACAGACAGCTCAAGAGACAAGCCACAGACAACATGGTTCAAATAAGCTGAGATTCATAATGCCAATATAAAACAAGGGTTCAAACTGGGATTGCTGGTTGCCTAACAAACCATAGTTAGTGAGGATTAGCTGAGGCACAAGAAGAAGCCACAAACTACAAACCAGGATTGCAGTGTTGGGTGAACTGCTGTTATCAGTTGTTCACTAAAAAACATACCATCTACCAGCTTAGCTTTTCTAAAAAATAATGCATTTATACTTAACTCGCAAGTTGAAACCTCTGTTTTATGAAACAAACTGATTCCAGATTTACATCCTTTCTTGAACCATTTTAGTACTGTTCTCTTTTATGTGTTGAAATTATTAGCATGCAGCTGTGAATCAACAGTTTGAAAATACTTCTATAATTATAGCTAGCTATTGATTGCAATAGCTGTAATAGCAATTTTTAGTTCAGGATTGTTTTGCCTTTTTTATTCTGGTTATCTCTCTGAACTGTGCATCACAGAAAGCAATATTTACTGCAAATATCAAGTCATTTATGTTCGTATTTAAAATTCCAATAGCTTTCCTGTTTTAAAAGAAAACTCGGAAACGAGTTTAGCCTTTTTAAAAAAAAAAATCCAAAAACTGTTGCCAGCATTTTGAAAATGTGAATGGAAAAGAAAGACAAAAAAAGAATTTATACTATCATTTTTCCTTGTTCCACCTTGTGGTCCTGATCCTGCTCTCCCAGAAGTCAGTGGGGGATTTGCTGGCCCTCGGCTGTGGAAATGGCTTCCACCAGAAATCAGGAGGACCATGTCTCTTCCCTCGTGCCAAGTGAAATGTAAGCCTCTATTTTTTGAAAAAGCCTTCCCTCAACAAAACCTTTTTTTCCTTAACATATATGATGGCCTCACCATTCTGCCCACCTGCTTGAAATCAAAAGAGAAAGGTGTATATTCTAAAGGCAGAATATGTTTGAACATGGCTTTATAATATGGTCTTAGGGCCAAACTCTACATGTCAGATAACACTAGGTATGGGGTTTTACAATTTTCTAAACTACAAAGACAATAATTCTGCTTTCCGGGAGTTCTGTCTATCTTACAAACCCCTAAATGGGATGTATCTGGGAGAGAGGTCCAAACTGGGAGACTTTGAGGCTTAGCTCGGCCTAGCTCTGCCCAGGCTTCCTGTTCCTGCCCCAGTGCTAGCTGGGAGTTTTCTTGATGAGCAGGAAGCTTGGGCAGAGCTAGGCCTAGCTAAGCCTCAACGTCTTCTGATTTAGGCCTTTCTCCCAGGTGAGCCACATTTAGGTGTCTGTCAAATATGTAAGGTAGATAGAAATCCCAGAATGGAGAATTACATTTCTGTTTCAGAAAATCCAAATAACCCATTGTCCCTAGATAATTTATTCTCGCTGAAAACGCATTAGTGTTCCAGAGATGTGATTCTGGTGTACCTTCTGAGTACTCAGAATTGCAAACAAAACCCAGAAGATCCATTAAAAGAAAGAAATACAGTTAGCTAATTTGCAAATAACAGGAAGTGTAAAAAAAAAAAGTACTTAGATGTTTTCAAGACCAGGAATTCCCTCTTCTAATTATGGGCTCTCTTTAGTGTATAGTTTGGTCTTCATAACTGTTTTGCGTTTAAACAATTTGTAACAATAGTTACAAAGGAAATGTGCTACACAATTATGCCTCAAAGCTGTGGACACCGTTGTGTATTCAAAAACTTTGATATGAATCTCTCAATGTAATCTGCTAATGTAGTAACGGGGGAAAAAAATTAGTACCCTGCTTTTAAAGCCCTAATAGACAGCTATACAGTTTATCATTAGTTCTTTGCATTTGTATACATATACAGTGGTACCTCACTAGACGACAACCTCACAAAACAACGAATCCACATGACAATGAGGTTTTGCGATTGCTATAGCTATTCGCAAAACACTTATTCCAATGGGCAATTTTCGCTTGACAATGATTTGGTCCGTGCTTCGCGTACCATTTTTTCGCAAGACGATTTTTACAGCTGATCAGCAGCTTCACAAAATGGCTTCCCTATGTTTTTGGGACTGATGCTTCGCAGGACAGCCATTTTTACAGCTGATCGGCGCTTCGCAAAATGGCTGCCCTATGAGCGATCTTTGCAGAACGACGAGGATTTTTCCCCGTTGGAACACATTAAATGGGTTTCAGTGCATTCCAGTGGGGAAACGGTTTTCGCATGACAATGATTTCGCTAAACAGCGATTTTCACGGAACGAATTATCGTCATCTTGCGGGGCACCACTGTATATGGTACCATATAGAACAACATATATAAATAAGAACACAGACATTTGTAATTTATGCACAATCACACAACTACGCACACATTATATGCAAGAGTTTCTTGCTTCTTTTTCTAGCTCCGCTCTTGCCTCTTCAAAATAGCCTGACATGAATTTATGAAGCTTCTCCAAGGAGCACAGCCCAGGGATGCTTCCTCATAATTTTCTAACATCAGCTGCTGTTAAACCATGGCTCTAAACATTTTCATTTGCCATTTCGACCATCCACTCTTTGTGTTTTTCACCCTACTTATTAATCTCCCACCGAGAGGACTTGTGGCTGAGTCTTCCTCCTTCAAGCTAGAAGAGGTAGATGTATTAGGAGGGAGAGTCTTCATGTCTGATGGTTCAGAATTCCCCTGTCCCACTACATACACACACAAGCATGTGTGCATGCATGCTCATGTGTGTGCGAATACTGCATTAGCGAATGGGTGAGCGTTCCGTTTCAGTTCCTTTTTTAAAGTGTGAACCAACGAATATTGGCAGATTTCCTTATAATCAGGCTGGAAAGGATTTGAGATTTAAAAATACGAATCTGAAAGCAACCAAAGCAGATGGATTTGCCCATCTAGTCCCAGAGTCTTAACTCTTTAAATCCTGGGTTTGAATCTGTTTCTCTAATTACGTTCGTGCTGAATTCGAGTTTCCAATTCTACCTCTTTTTTTCCTGAGACACTCACTGTTTTTGAAAGAAAGGCAAACACAGCACAGACAGTCCTCTCCTTGCTGGCAATATCTGTATTTGGCCAGTGGAAATGGGAGAGAATATTGTTTCGCTTTATTTTCAGAAGAATTTCCAAATTTTGTCATATTTGAAAGGGAAAGACCTCAAGGGTTAAACATTCACATATGAGGGGAAGGAAGGAAAATACAGATTTCTCCACCAATACTGATGTGATGCAGCTCAAAACAAGAGATAAGAAAATACTGCTTTTTTTTTTTACTCAACTCCCAGTGGCCATGCTGACTATGGTGTTCAAGAGACTGCAATTCACTAAGTAACTTTTCCCAAAGTCTGTTGAGGAATACTTGACATATAAAGTAATATCTCTTATCTTTTTACTGTGATTTTCCGATTTTCTGAACTACACATACCATGATCCTCCATTCTTGGAGTTCTACCTACCTTTCAGGCACCTTACAGACACCTAAATGTGACTCACCTGGGAAAACAGACCTAAACTGGAAGATTTTGAGGGTTTGCTAGGCCTAGTTCCGCCTAATCTTTCTGCTCAAACTGAGTGCCAGCTGCAAGCTTTCTTTCTGAACTCCCAGAATGGAGAATTGCAGTATTTTTTTTTTGTTCCAGAAAATCCAGAAAACCCATCCTTAGTGAAAACTGTCCACGTTTACATCTATACTTAACACGCATGCAGCCATTATAATTTCCTTCTAAGAGGCCCCTGTAGGTCCTGGCAGGCAACTGTAGAAGAGACTCAATAGCTACGAGATAGCATTTCCGTCAAAAAACTGAAAGGCACTCTGAGAATGGACGTGTTGACATCCAAAATGTTAGGATCAGGCTGCATTGTGCTTTGCAGTAACATGCGATAGAATTTAATAAGCCTAATAACATAATAAATTAAACATTAAAAACAAACTATGTGTTATTTAAAAAAAACAATTGAATAATTCAAAGCAAGTAAACATTTCAAATGATCTTAAGAACTATTATTATTAACAGTCCACCAACTGTTCTAGTTTCCTGAATGTTGGCTCACTCCGAAGAACCTAGGATATTCCTAGATATTTCCTTAAAAATACGTGCTATTCCAATTTTAGACAGATCTCTGCAGCTGGTATATTGCAGTCTCGTTAACGCCTAGATTACAAAGATGGTTTTCTCTGTGTTTTGGTATTGCACATAAAGCACCAGTTTAGTTTTTATTTTTAAAACCACTTTTATTATTAGTATTGCAGTTCAGTTATGTTTGTTGTTGTTGTTGTTGTTATTATTATTACTATTATTACTATTATTACTACTATTACTATTAGTACTNTACATTTATCGACAGACCCAAAGTCTTGTGGGTGGGACCGTAAAGGCAAAGGCTGATTCTTCATGGATAAGTTTTAGTGGCCTGTGGCCAACTTTATCTGATACAAGGCATGTTACCTGAAGAGGAAGATTTATGCACAGAATTGGTTGAATGAAAAGAGCAGAAATCCATGATTATTATCTTGATAATTATCTAAATCATGGTCACTGAAGAAGCAGTCATTGGGAGACAACAAGGGCATCTTAACATAGATAAGCAGGGTCACCTGTTTATGGTAAAGAAAATTCTTTGCAAAATCCAAGCATAGGAGAGAAAGAGGAAGAGTTTCATCTTGAGCCGAGATACCGTTAAAACTTCCTCTTATACTTGAGCCACAGCCCAGAAGAGGGTCTATCAAGTTTTGTTAGTCCTGACGTTTACCTGTTTGCAAGCCCTGCCAGGACTAACAATTGAGTGAATATATCTAGGACGTTGTGGTAGCTAATTGCATTTGATCGAATGCATCTTTATTGGAAATGGACAAAGGATATGTAAACTGTGCTATATAGAGATAACATCCTTGTTGCCACATGCAAATCTGGCTATAACAGCACAGTTCTCTGCCTTTCTTGTTCCCTAGGCACTTCTTATTTAAACATGGATCGGGTTCTTCAGCTATCTTCAGTGCAGCCAGTCAGAACTACCCCTTGACTTCCAATACTGTTTACTCACCACCTCCTAGGCCACTTCCTAGAAGTACTTTTCCTAGGCCGGCTTTCTCTTTTAACAAACCGTATAGATGCTGCAACTGGAAATGTACCGCGTTGAGTGCGACGGCGATCACAGTCACCCTGGCCTTGTTGCTTGCCTATGTCATTGGTAAGTGCTTTTGTCTTGTTGCGTTGTTTTCTGTGAAGTGTTCTGTTGCCCCTGCCTGTATGAGCATGAGGTGGGGTGCTTGCAGTGCAATCCCCTATCTCAGCGATGGCGAACCTGTGGCACATGGGCCACAACTGACACGCAGAGCCCTTTCTGCAGGCACGCAAGCCATAAGGCACTGGATTGCTACTCCCCCCTGAAGCCAAACCTCAGGAGGCGGCTGCAGCCACAGTGCTGGTGCTTTAACAGGTGGCAGGCCAGGATCCAGAGCAGCTGGCACTGGCAGCAGATCCAGAGTGGCGTCTCGAGGCACCTCCGTGCCCAGGATTCCCCCTTCCGCCATTCCGGTTCCGCCACCGCCACTTCCAGTTCTGCTGCCACCATTTCTGGTTCTGCCACCACCGCAGCCCACCAGTTTTTTTTCCAGTTTGGACACTCTAGCCCAAATAGGTTTGCCGCCACTGCCCCTATCTGATCACACAGGAATCAGAGAAATGTCTTTCTGAAAAGAACCACTCCCAGGATTTCCGGTTCTGCTGCCACCATTTCTGGTTCCGCCACCACCGCAGCCCACCAGGTTTTTTTTTCAGTTTGGACACTCGAGCCCAAAAAGGTTTGCCGCCACTGCCCCTATCTGATCACACAGGAATCAGAGAAATGTCTTTCTGAAAAGAACAACTCCCAGGATACTCCAGATGGCATAACGAGTTGTTGCTGCAATTCCTTTTCCTACACCATTTGGAAAACCGGTGGGGAACTGGTGCAGATTGTTGGGTGTACACACCACCCAGAGTAGCAGTTTGTTAAAGGGGCATAAGTGAGTGAGTGAGTGAGTGAGTGAGTGAGTGAGTGAGTGAGTGAGTGAGTGAGTGAGTGAGTGAGTGAGTGAGTGAGTGAGTGAGTAAGTTTAATATGATTGCTAGTGACAGGGAACCCCATGATATAACTCGGTTCAGCTTGTTCATTTAGATACTCTTCATAGCACTAGGCTTTGCCTCATTCACCTGGAAGATAGATTGTGTAGAGAGGATAAATATATATATACTGCCTTGGGGTTTGTTCGTTTGTTTCTTTTTCTTCTTCAGTACACCAATCCACGCTTCGTATTTTGTTTGCTGCCAAACTTGTGCAGAACACAAGTTGACCAAGCTGTGCTTACACAGAAGGTAGATAAGAATAAATTCAATTTAATCATTGGCGCTGCAGCAGATGGTGGGTTAATCCAGTTTACAAAATATAATCTCCAACCGCATGCACACTCGCTTTGCATAATTTTCAGATCCCTCTCTTTTTTTCATGTAACGGCATTAATTGTAACACAAATAATCTGCTATCAAGAGATGGCAACGTTTTCTTTATTTATTATGTATTTCAGTTTTTGAGCTCTGCTATCTGGTTTGCAGTGACATTGATCTGTCAAATTAAGAATAAAGCATCATAGTTCTGCCGTGAAACACAAGTTGGAATTTAGGAAGGAAGTTAGCTCCCACAAGCTCCTTTTTCAGTCTACACCTCCCAGTAATGCTTGACTAATATCGGCTGCAGCCTTGATGGCTGTGGGATTGTGGGAGTTGTCATCCAGAAGTAATTTCCCCCAAGTTGTGTCTGTGAACAACAAAAGCATAAAGGCCCTTAACTCTTCCTGAAGAGGAAGTAAGCTTGATGAGATCTTATCATCATCATCATAAACTTTATTGGCATAAAGCTTGAAGAGAGATTCCTCCTTCATCCTCAGCAATTGAATGAGGGCTTTGAAGTTGAAGTCTGAACTGAGAAGCCGTAGGGTGTTTTGCCTTCTTTCCACTTCTTGTTGGTGAGAATGCCCAACAAGGTGCGTTGGCAATACCAGCCAGCTGGCAGAGGTCAGCTTGCCTGATGGACGGCTTCTTTAATTTTGAGATGCAAATCCTTGCTCCTCTCAGTATCATGCCTCCACAAGAATGAAAAGCCACCAACCCCTCCACCAAACACCCTCCTTCCTTGCAAAACAGCCAGGATCCTGCTGGTCTTTTCATAAAGTTGGTGTGACTTGCCACCCCTCATCGCGGCTGTGTCACGGATAGGGGAGATGACACTGTGTTTCAAGCTGCTGGCTTTTAATGGGGTTCTTCCTCCTGCTCCTCTCCTCTGAGAACTGCAGAGTTGGAAGGGACCCTGTAAGTCATCCAGTCCAGTCCCTGTCACGATGGACCGGACGCGATGATCCATAGGGTCCCATCCAGCTCTGCAGATCTAAAATTATGATTATTATTCCTGCATTGACAGTATACCTCACACACCGGTTTTTAAATCCCAAATCCCGAACAGTGCCACTGAGTGTTCTGTCACCCTCAAATGCCATCTTTGCTGCTTCCTGGAGTGACATCATCGGAACCGCAAGCATTTCTTTGAATCGCCCGGGGCGATTTGTCATCTGCTATTGAAAAGAAAACCAAACGTTAAGATGTGAGGCGAAATGAGCATGCTTACCATTTTTGGTTTATGTCAAACACAGACGGGCAGTCATTGATTTCTGTGAAACAGGCCGTGCTACCTCCCGCATAACAAAGGTGGACACTGGACACAAATGACTTGCTGGTTTTGTCTTCTCTCTACCCCCATCCCACCCCTCGCCCCCATTTTAACAGCAGTGCATCTGTTTGGTCTCACGTGGCAACTGCAGCCCGTGGAAGGCCAGCTTTACGAGAATGGCGTCAGCAAAGGAAGTCGGGGCCCAGAATCTGTGGACACGACGTACTCACCCATCGGAGGGAAAGTTTCAGACAAAACGGAAAGGAAAGGTACTTCCCCTCCCCACCCCCACCCCGACTCCTTCCTGTTGGGCTTTGGGTACAATAAATCAGCTATAATCTCTAAAGTTACAGAATTGGCATATTGGAGCCAGAAACATTTATATGTATATATCTAAAGTTATTTATTATTTCAAAACCAAGTCACTAGTGACTATCTGGATTATAATTCCTGGCACAAAGACACACCATACGGGAGAATAACATTTTCCTTTACACTAAAGGAACTAAGTAAAAGTTATTTATGTAATATATAAAGTATATTGCATAAGTACAGTGCTTAGTTACTTGGCATGACAAACATTCACTGGTAGTCTTCACTTTGTAGTATTGTTACATTTGTAATCCTTAAATTTTAGTCCTAGTATGTATTATTCCAGTTACATATCTATTTCAGCCTGAATGTCTGGAGTCCATATCGCGAGAGACCACGTCAGCCCTATCAGGACCTATCTCATATTGTCTGGGTCCTAGTTCCTATCTACATATCGTCTGGGTCCCTGACTTTAACAGACCATAAATACAAACTGATTGATTAAACACATTCAGTGCAAATATTCTTAGCTAGCAGAACATAAATATTCACATACATATAAACATGCATGCATAAATATCACACTTCCCTCTTTCTCTGGCTTTTCCTCCACTTCTTTCACCCCCTTCCCTTCCCCTTCCATCTCTCCTTTTCCCCTCCTCTTCCTCTATCACTCCACCCCTCTGCTTTCTTAACCTCTTTCCCTCTTGTTTCTCTCTCCCTTCCCTTCAGTCTTCCTCTGTCCCGTTTCCATGTATTACTCCATGCTGGGGAAGATGCTGAACCATCCTCGGTTGCATTTCTCCCTTCCTTCACTTTTCTTAAGTCTTTGTCATCAACCTCAGCCTTATTCTTTTGAAATGCTCAGCCCTTGATCTGGAAGGCTCAGAGCTTGAATCGTTTGAAAAGTGGTGCTGGAGGAGAGCTTTGCAGAGAGATACCTTTGACTGCCAGAAGAACAAACCAGTGGGTGCTTGAGCAAATCAAGTCTGAATGATTTATGTCTGGAGGCCAAAAAGGATGAAGCTGAAGCAGTCCTATTCCAGGCACCTCATGAGAAGGCAGGATTCTCTGGAAAAGGCAATCATGCTGAGAAAAGTGGAAGGCAGCGGAAAAGAGGAAGATCAAATGCGAGATGGACTGGCTCCATAAAGGAAGTCACGGGCTTGAGTGTGTAAGAGTTGAGCAAGGCAGTTGGAGACAACCCTTCTGGAGATCCCTCATTCATAAAGTCACCATAAATCAAAAGTGGTGAACTACAACAACCCTCTTCCATGTGGAAGATTAATCTGTGTTTAACGCCTTTGCTTTTTCAGTGTGCGGTGTTGTAAAGATGAACCCTCTGCGTTCTAAACTTGCATTTAGGTGTTGTAGGTCAGGGAGGTATTTGAAAAACAACCCCATTGAACGGAAGGTTGTGTTTCACCCTTTGCCTCCCTCCTAGTGCCTTCCTTGAAGTGCTTTCCTCCAGACTTTAAAATGTTCTCCCTAATCAGGATCCTAGATAAGGAATAAGCCGAACTTGAGGAAAAACAGGAGGTGGGGAGTTGCAATGAAATCTGAAGGCACAGGACGGGTGTATGATCTCTTTGCCCCCACGGACATTCTCTTGACCAAAAGACTTGAGGAATCAGCTGAGACAGTGTACAGCCATCACCTTAATCATTCTTTGGCATTTGGGTTTGCTTTGTTTGTGCCTTGTAACATCTTCCACGTATCTTCTATTTGAGCCTCTGAATTACTGCCTTTAAATGACCTTCAACCTTTGTGAAAGGATTTGAGCCTCCCTCCTGTCCTGTTCAGCTACCACAATCCCTTTCTTCCCGGACCTCCTCACCACCTCTACCATGGGCTTTTGATGTTAAAAATAACTAACTGTACGAGACTTTCTGGAAATGTTCCTCTCTTGTCTAGGTAGCATGTGATGATGGATGCTTTGATCTCTGTTTTGAAGAGGTTTGATGGTGCTTACATCTGGCATCATGGATCATTATGGGCTGGTTTAGACATTCAGCAGAATAAAGCAGGGAAAGGTTTTCCGAGAAGTTAGCAATTCCGATTGGGGAGACGAGATTTTTGCATGAATAGTTCATGGGGAAAATCAGCATGCAGTAATGATAACCAGGACGACCAAAGAAAGAAGGGGGACAAAGCACAGCTTGGAAACAACAGGCTGGTTTTCTTGCATCAATGTTAAATTTGTTTCACTTTTGGCCAAACAACCCAAAATGCCAGTGATAAATCTACTGTGATGAAAAGAATGCTTTAAAAGTAACATTAATGCCAATTCTGGTTGCTATGCTTTGGCCAGAATCCTGTTAGTCATACCCACCAGTGTAATGCCTTCAGCATGACTTTCAGGGGCAAACTGACTCAAGTCAAGAAGTCAGCACAGATATTTCCTATTGCACACCAATTCATGAAACTTCCCCTGAATTTAGTTGCTGCTGAAAGTTATGCAGCAGTTATGCTTTCAGCAGCAATTAAGTTCAGGTTAAGTTGCACATCGGTCCATTGGTCCAGATAGGCGGGGTATAAATCAAATTAACAACAACAACAACAGCAGCAGCAGCAGCAGCAGCAGCAGCAACAACAACAACAACAACAACAACAACAACTATCTTAAGTAAAAAAGATCTAGGGGCTGAATTGTGATTATTGGAAGCTCGCCTGAAAAGATGGGTCTTCAGCTGTCAGCAGAAAGATAAAAGGGAGGAATAATGCATTGTTGTTGTTTAGTTGTTGTGTCTGACACTTCATGACCCCATGGACCAGAGCATGCCAGGCCCTCCTATCTTCCACTGCCTCCCAGAGTTTGGTCAAATTCATGCTAGTCACTTCGATGACACTGTCCAACCATCTCGTCCTCTGTCATCCCCTTCTCCTCCTGTCTTCACAGACAGAAACAAAAGGAAATGCTTAGGTTGGCAGAAATATGCAGTAGCATTCCAGGCTTTGGTATGCTATCTAGGGGGCAAGTTTTTACATCCTACCTTATAAGCCGCCAAGAGACCTTTGGGTAGTGTGAGCAGCATATAAGTTAAATAAATAAAATAAATAAAAAGAAAGCTCACACATCTAAAGTAAAGAATTGTCTTCAATTAGAAGTTAAGTGTTTCATTAGTACAACTTCAAGAAGCCCTAGCCAATGCTGATAATGGGTAAACTTTAAGTAATCCACACCTTCAGCTTAGGAGGCAGCACATCAAAACTGAAAACTTCTGCTTCCAGTCTCCCACAGATCTTTTACTTTCAGAAAACTGTTAGAAGTTTAGAAAATGCTTTTAGTTTTTGGAAGAATTTGAAGCAAAATTGACCTTTGACTCAGGCTGCTCTGAGTCTAGCCTGACTACTGTGCATCTATGCATTGTGTAAAGAGATCTGAAAGAAGAAACTTGCTGTGGAAGTATGGGTTTCCTGGACTATTTAGATCCCAGATTTTGCCAGGATCTTGTGCATATAGCAGGCTCTGTATGTCACTCTTATTGTCCCTTAACCACTGTCACTGACTTCCACAATGCACACAATAGAAGCCATTACAGAACTGAGCGAGTTAGCATTGCGAAAAACCTCAGCTTCCATTTTGCATGGCTCTTTCAGCTTAAAGTGACAAGTTTCCTTCATTTTGACTCATGTAACAGTCACCAAAGCTGAAAACTACTGCTTTGTGTCTCCGATTGATAATTTAATTTCAGAATACTGTTTGAAGTTTGAATAATGGTTTTAGCATTTGAAGCATTTTGAAGAGCTTTCTGGCTTTGCTTAGCAAAGGGGCCATGCAAATCATCCCAGCTTTCCCCCCCTCATTCTAAATCAGAGCCTTGCTTTTCTTTATATGGCTTCAAATGTTAAAAGCATTTTTTTCAGGCTTCAAACAGTATTCTGAAAGCAAATTATCCATGGGAGACAGAAAGCAGCAGTTTTCATTTTTTATAACGGTCCCTTGGGGGAGTACATATGTTTAAAAAAACTGGCCTCTGTGACTTGAAATAGTCTGCAAAGAGGGTGTTCATACTTTTGGCATTGCTAATTCATTCATCTTTCTGTTTTGTTGTGTTGTGCCATGGAATTCTATGTGAAAGTAGATGTTATTGGCTCTTGTGCTTGTATACAGCCAGCAGAGTTATGTGGGTAAATTGTTCTTAGTTGCTTTCTCTCTTGCTAGAAGGGGGTAGACAAAGTCTTTTATTTTAAGACTATTCTCTCAGTCTTCACACGTGTTAGATCTTATTAGCTCTCACCTCCAGCTTAACATGTGCACTGTGGGATCTGTGGTCTTTTTAGAACAAAGTGGTGGATGGGAAGGGCCATTTTTAAACAATAACAAAAGTGCTTCTGAAAGAACCAGTGGAAAATGTACTCTTAGCAGTAAGCAGGGAAGGAACCCTATTAGCCTCAGTATTTACTTTAGACATAATGATTTGCTCCTAGAGCTACTTACTCAACAAGTTAAAACATTTTCCATTCTAAACATTAATAGTAATGAATTAATTTTCCAGTTAACAACACAGATGAATTAAGTTGGCAAAATCGAAGGTCAACAGACCTTATCTGTTTGCCTGTTAACTGTGTCTTCTCCTTATTGTGGATCCTATCATCGTGAAGATACATATAGATATGGGACAAAGCATTTGTTTTCCTTGTGTCAGAAGAAATGGATTTTGATCCGTGAATGCTCACACTGAAGTAAATCTGTTAAGCCGGGATTTCTGGGAGTTGGAGTCCAAGACGATGAGTTGTTTAAGGGAACATTTTAAGGGTGCATTCTGCCATGTCGACCTATCCTTATTTGAATAGGTTGCACTATGATTGTTCTTTTTGCAAAATGAGATGTTCTATTGATGGTTGGCATTTACGAGAAGAGCATAATGAGATTGATTGTTTCAGGAATCCGTGATGATCTGCCCAGGAGCGCTTTCCCAGGGAGGATAATTGGTGCTTCACTATTTGGGTTTTC